TATTATATTCTCTGGAAGATCCACTCTGTATTTCAACCGTTACTATACTACGTTACGTTACAAAACCCTTAAAAGAAAGCTTTCCGGTGGTTTATTGGCGAAACGGAATATCGATACTATTTAGGCTCACTTCAGATTGTCAATTAAGTGTGTACTATCAGCGCACATTAAGTATAAGAACACAATATGTGTTGCCATATGTACCTGTCTTAGTTAGTTCTGAAAGTTTACAGTCGCTGCAGAGCCATATCTATTAAATACAACTGGTGCTGCACCCAACATTAGCAGTGAAAACAGCTTTACGCCGCTTGTAGCAATACCAGAGTGGGGCGTTATGGCACCAAAACTGGGATTCCCAGATTGTACACATATGGAGATTTGAAGTTAATGGTAAACACATTCAACATAAACAGTTTTTAATCGCAGGACAGTTTGTGAAGAAGGAACGTTGTTGACCATATCCACATGTATTGGCTGTGTTGAATGTTTAGCCCAAGTTTGTTTCCTTTACTGATTTCAATGTTTGGATACCGTTTTTTTCAATTTTCGCTGCACTGAACTGCTTTTGATGATTTTAGTTTGAACTATAGTCATCATTTGTTTATCTGTAATTACATTTTGCCACCAGGAATGCTGGAAATAACTACACCTCATCTTCACGCTTTGTCACCACTAGTTAACCCGCTTTCAAGACAGCGACCCGAGTTGAGGCAATAAACATTAACATAAACAAAGTCCCCGCAACGGGATTAGATTTCTAAAGTAATAAATAACAGACTAACAAATGGTGCGACATATAATATCAGAGTAAGTTATATGAAACTTATTAAATTTATTTTCCACATTAGTACATAAACGTATTTTCATTTTAAATGACTAAATGCGGTTATATCGATGTTACACTCCTACCGTAACAACATACAGATATCCCTGTATGTTATGAACAATAACATGAGCTGAGCTTCCTATCTAGTGAGGGATAACGTATAATAACATATCAAACGAGTAATAACATTATCTAATTCCTTTTGCCAGTAATAACCTGGAGGTATTTGCATACAGGATGGGTCATATCCTACATCATCCCTAAAGCCATCAAAGCCGTTCCTTGAAGAAAATAATAACAGTAGAGAGGCATTAAAGCAAATTGAGTACGTATGTCTCGGCTATAAAACCTGGACATCAATCGCCGGTAAAGCCATATGCCAAAGCCATAAAGCAGTGGATAGTGAATTAAATCTTGTAGTCCCAGCTTCCCCAGTTGGATGTTCTTCATAGCCTTCCGTGTTTCATATACGTCAATTTGATAACGCTAATAATTTCATCATGGCAAGACATCGAGAAAATATGGAAATAAGTTGTCATTTGCCTTTTTGGGGCGCTTTCTTATTTGCTGGTTTTATCCTCTGACATTTTGAAAATGACTTATTTCCCCGGCTCTATGAGAGCAGTCTATTGTAGCCATCATGCCCGGTAATGAACATAACAGAACGACATCCGTGCTGGCTCTTCTTCCTGCTGCAGATGCTGGAATATGGACTGGCAGCAGGCACGTTACGACAGGTACAAATATGACAGGTGTGTTGTTTTATTGGTAATTAGACAGTGCTTATGAAGACCAACTGCGAGGATCGATGTCGGTTACAGTATATGCTCGTATAGATGGTAATGATGTAACGGTGGGTGTATACTTACCAGTCAAGCTTCGTCCTCAACGCTGATTTGCCGTATCTGCCTCACGTGCTCTGGCACCTGCCTGCTGTACACGGTGGAACTTGGAACGCTATTGGAGAATATACCCATGAATTATATCTCAGAATATCTTACTTTACCAGAGTCTACCGCTGATCAGTAATGGAGCTATTCTTTTCGGATGATCAGTTGGTATTCATTGCACAGGTTCATTTCCGAGTACTACTTTTTGATACATCTATGTAGAGGAGTTCAGTAGACAGGGTACTAGCACGTACATATGTAAGGAGTTCAGTAGACAGAGGTACTACCACGTACATCTATGTAGAGGTTCAGTAGACGGAGTACCAGCACGTACAGCTATGTAGAGGTTGAGTAGACGGGGTACTAGCACGTACAGCTATGTAGAGGTTGAGTAGACGGGGTACTACCACGTACAGCTATGTAGAGGTTGAGTAGACGGGGTACTAGCATGTGCAACTATGTAGAGGTTCAAGTAGACGGGGTACTACCACGTACAGCTATATAGAGGTTCAGTAGACGGGGTACGAGCACGTACAGCTATGTAGAGTTCAATGGAGCAGGAGTACTAGCACATTACACCTATGTAAGAGGTTAGTAGTGGGCAAAGGGTAGAAGCACGTACACCTATGTAGAGGAGTTCAGTAGACGGGGTACTACCACGTACAGCTATGTAGAGGTTCAGTAGACGGGGTACTACCACGCACAGCTATGTAGAGGTTCAGTAGACGGGGTACCAGCACGTACAGCTATGTAGAGGTTCAGTAGACGGGGTACTAGCACGTACAGCTATGTAGAGGTTCAGTAGACGGGGTAGTACCAGTACGTACAGCTATGTAGAGGTTCAGTAGACGGGGTACCAGCACGTACACCTATGTAGAGGTTCAGTAGACGGGACACTACCACGTACACCTATATAGAGGTTGAGTAGACAGGAGTACCAGCACGTACAATATATAGAGGTTGAGTAGACGAGGTACCAGCGTACAACGATGTAGAGTTGAATAGACAGGGGTACTACCACGTACACAGCTATGTAGAGTTGAGTGGGCTCAAGGGTAGAAGCACGTGCAGCTAATGTAGAGTTCAGTAGACGGGTACTACACGTACATCTATGTAGAGGTTCAGTAGACGGGGTACTACCACGTACATCTATGTAAGAGTTCAGTAGACAGATACCAGCACGTACAGCTATATAGAGGTTCAGTAGACAGGGGTACTACTTTTATTACAGCTATGTAGGGTTCAGTAGACGGGGGTACTAGCACGTACAGCTATGTAGAGGTTGAGTAGACGGGGTACTAGCACGTACAGCTATGTAGAGGTTCAGTAGACGGGGTACTACCACGTACAGCTATGTAGAGGTTCAGTAGACGGGGTACCAGCACGTACAGCTATGTAGAGGTTCAGTAGACGGGGTACTAGCACGTACAGCTATGTAGAGGTTAGAGTAGACAGGGTAGAAGCACGTACACCTATGTAAGAGGTTTAGTAGACGGGGTACTACCACGTACAGCTATGTAATAGAGGAGTTCAGTAGACGGGGAATTACTACCACACTTGTATATGAAGGTTTAGTAGACGAGGGTACCAGCACGTACAACTATGCAGGAGTTCAGTAGACGGGGTATACCACATACAGCTATGTAGAGTTCAGTAGACAGGGAGTACTACACCACTGTATATAGAGGTTCAGTAGACAGGGTACCAGCGTACACCTATGTAGAGGTTGAGTAGACGAGGTACCAGCACGTACAGCGATGTAGAGGTTGAGTAGACAGGAGTACTACCACGTATACAGCTATGTAGAGGAGTTCAGTAGACAGGGTAGAAGCACATGCAACCCATAGAGAGTTGGAGTAGAGAATACAGTCAAAGAGTAAAGGATGCGTACAGTGGACAGGGTGGGAGCCATAGTACAGGATACGTACAATCGACATGTTGGAACCAAGAGTAAAAGAGATGCGTATAGTGGACAGGAGTGGAGCCAAGAGTAAGAAGGATGCATGAGTACAGGATGGAGCCAGAGTAAAGGATAAATACAGTGGACAGAATTGGAGCCAAAGTAAGGATGCAATATTGTGGACAGAATTGGAGCCAAATTAAAGGATACGAATAGTGGACAGGGTGGAGCCAAATGAGATGCGTACAGTGGACAGGGGTGGAGCCAGAGTAAGGATGCGTAGAGGGACGTGAGTGGGGCCAGAGTAAAGGATGCGTACAGAGGGACAGAATTAGACCAGAGTAAAGGATGCGTACGTACAGTGGACAGAGGTGGAGCCAGAGTAAAAAGGATGCGTATAGTGGACAGGGTGGAGCCAGAGTAAAGGGACTGCGTATAGTGGACAGGGTGGAACCAAAGTAAAGGATGCTGATACAGTGGACAGGGTGGAGCCAGAGTAAAAGGATGCATGCAGAAGGACAGAGGTGGAGCCAGAGTGAGGATGCGTACAGTGGACAGGGGTGGAGCCAAGAGTAAAGGATGCATTATAGTGGACAGAAGGGTGGAGCCAGAGTAAAGGATGCGTACGGAGAGGACAGGGGTGGGGCCAAGGTAAAGGATGCGTAGAGGACGAGGTGGGGCCAGAGTAAAAGGATGCGTACAGTGGACAGGATGGAGCCAAGTAAAAGGATGCGTACAGAGGACTGGGATGGAGCCAGGTAAAGGATGCGTAGAGGACAGGGTGGGGGCCAAGAGTAAGGATGCGGCCACAGAGGACAGGGGTGGAGCCAGAGTAAAAGGATGCATTACTGAGGACAGGGGTGAGCCAGAATGCAAAGGATGCGTAGAGATGACAGGGGTGGGGGCCAAATTAAAGGATGCATTACAGAGGACTGGGTGGAGCCAGAGTAAGGATGCATTACAGAGGACTGGGTGGGGCAGGAGTAAAGGATGCGTACAGTGGACGGGGTGGAGCCAAATTAAGAGATGCATTACAGAGAGGGGACAGGAATTGGAGCCAGAGTAAAGGGTTATGCGTAGAGAGTGACAGGGTGGGGCCAGAGTAAAGGATGCTTGTAGAAGGAAGGGACTGGGTGAGACCAGAGTAAAGGATGCAATGAAGGGACTGGGTGGAGCCAGAGTAAAAAGGATGCGTACAGTGGACAGAGGTGGAGCCAGAGTACAGGATGCGCAAGTTAAGATCGACGGCAGGTTGGAGCCAGAGTAAAGGATGCGTATAGTGGACAGGGTGGAGCCAGAGTAAAGGATGCGTAGAGAGGACAGGGTGGAGCCAGAGTAAAGGATGCGTAGAGAGGACGGGGTGGGGCCAGAGTAAAAGGATGCATTACAGTGGACAGGTGGAAGACCAGAGTAAAGGATGCGTATTTGTGGACGGGGTGGGGCCAAGAGTAAAGGATGCGAATAGTGGACAGGGGTGGAGCGTAGAGAGAGCCAGAGTAAAAGGATGCATTACAGTGGACGGGGGTGGAGCCAGGAGTAAAGGGATGCGTAGAGGGACGTGGGTGGGGCCAGAGTAAAGGATGCGTAGAGAGGACGGGGGTGGGGCGAGTAAAGGATGCATTACAGTGGACAGGATGGAGCCAGAGTGAAAGGATGCGTACAGAGGACGGGGTGGAGCCAGAGTAAAGGATGCGATTACAGGGGTGGAGGGGTGGGGGCCAGAGTAAAGGATGCGTAGAGATGGACGGGGTGGAGCCAGAGTAAAGGATGCGTACAGTGGACAGGGTGGAGCCAGAGTAAAGGATGCGTAGAGAGGACTGGGTGGGGCCAGAGTAAAGGATGCGTACAGAGGACTGGGTGGAGCCAGAGTAAAGGATGCGTACAGAGGACTGGGTGGGGCCAGAGTAAAGGATGCGTACAGAGGACTGGGGGGTGGAGCCAGAGTAAAGGATGCGTAGAGAGGACGGGGTGGAGCCAGAGTAAAGGGATGCGTAGAGAGGGACTGGGTGGGGCCAGAGTAAAGGATGCGTAGAGAGGGACTGGGTGGGGCCAGAGTAAAGGATGCGTACAGAGGGACTGGGGTGGAGCCAGGTAGAGTAAGGATGTAAAGGATGCGTAAAGGATGCGGAGAGTGGGGTGGGGCCAGAGTAAAGGATGCGTAGAGAGGACAGGGTGGAGCCAGAGTAAAGGATGCGTAGAGAGGACGGGGTGGAGCCAGAGTAAAGGATGCGTAGAGATGGACGGGGTGGGAGCCAGAGTAAAGGATGCGTACAGTGGACAGGGTGGAGCCAGAGTAAAGGATGCGTGGACAGAGTGGACCAGAGTAAAGGGGTGGGACAGGGCCAGGTGGGGCCAGAGTAAAGGATGCGTAGAGAGAGGACGGGGGTGGAGCCAGAGTAAAGGATGCGTAGAGAGGGACGGGGGTGGGAGCCAGAGTAAAGGATGCGTACAGAGTGGAGCCAAATAAACGTACAGAGGGGGTGGAGCAAGCGTCAGAGTCACGGGGGTGGAGGATGCGTACAGCGTACGGGGTGGATGAAACAGTCAAATACTTTAAATACCCTTTACTTCGAGGCGAGGTTTGGGAGATGTGTATATTCATTTTCAGCATGTCAGAATAGCAGTAGCAAACTCGCTCACATATGGAAACATTGGTTTGGGCACCCATCAACGTCCATCCCAACTGTCTCAAAGTAGACATTTAACCACATATGGGCAGGCAGCACTTTCAAAATTATGTAAATTATAAGTTCTTACAGGATGGTGACACTAACGAAATTCTCTCCCACTTCAGACCCATCTTCATGATGTTTGTGTCTATCTTGTGGACTTGTATTCCACAGCGTTGCATGCATGCCCGTTCAGTCCCGTGGAAGGAGCTTCCACGTTGGTGTGCGGCAAGCTGATGACGTCCATGTATGCGCTGCAAGGAAGTCTGTGGCGGCATTTCATGCAGCAATTCCCTGGATAGCCAAACCCTTTTCAGCCAAAATGGCTCCTTTCTCAATTCATCTTTGTAAACATGGAAATAGCGTAGTAATCGCACCGTGGCTCAGTTTGACGGCTGAAACGGCCAAATTTCTGATTAATGAGCTCGGCTAAAATCAGTGCTTTAGAAGGGTTTTTTCTCTCCAACGTAAAGATGTTCTGCTCGTCGTAATGGGCTTGTTTGTAGCCGGTGCAGCTCTCCATTCCTGTCGCCGAGGTTAGCACTGCTCCAGTTACTCCCCTGCCCTCTCCACTGCTAATGAACCTCCAAAGGCTTTTCTGTATTTGTTTCCCTGACAAAGATTCAATAGTGTGACGTTCTCTAACTCATCTTGGAGCGCCCAGCTCTTAGTTTGGAAGCCGTATGATCAGAGCGGCCCTTTGTGTAAGCCGTGTAAATTCACCCTCTCCGGGACGGAAGCCATATTCACACTGGCCATATGTTCCCAAATTACATCACAATTAATTTACAGTTAGTTAATATATGCCCCCGTCAGTTGGTGTTCTCGTGGGAATTTCGGATTTGATGACTTCCCGAACAGCATGTGCTGACTGTAACTTAGGTAGGTACATACGGCGGTCAGGGTGGTGGCCATGTTTGTCTGGGTATGTCGTCGACGTGGATCGTTCCGACTTGAATATTTCCAGGGCTTCTTCATATGGATGGAATGACCTGGGAACTGCATGATGTTGTTGGAAGGGGAAGGTCCTCGCTACCCGGGGGTACTACATGATGTTGATGGAAGGGGAAGGTCCTCGCTACACTGTGGATACTACATGATGTTGTTGGAAGGGGAAGGTCCTCGCTACCCGTGGGTACTACATGATGTTCCTGGAAGGGGAAGGTCCTCGCTACCCGGGAGTACTGTGTGATGTTGTTGGAAGGGGAAGGTCCTCGCTACCCTGTGGTACTACATGATGTTGTTGGAAGGGAAGGTCCTCGCTACCCGGGGGTACTACATGATCGGTGTTGGAAGGAAGGTCCTCGCTACACTGTGGATACTACATGTCGTTGTTGGAAGGGGAAGGTCCTCGCTACCCTGGGGTACTACATGATGTTGTTGGAAGGGGAAGGTCCTCGCTACCCCGGGGTACTACATGATGTTGTTGGAAGGGGAAGGTCCTCGCTACCCCGGGAGTACTACATGATGTTGTTGGAAGGGGAAGGTCCTCGCTACACTGTGGATACTACATGATGTTGTTGGAAGGGGAAGGTCCTCGGTCCTGGGGTACTACATGATGTTGGAAGGAAAAGGTTAGGTCCTCCCGGGGGAATGTTGTTGGAAGGGAAGGTCCTCGGTCCCGGGGTACTACATGATGTTGTTGGAAGGGGAAGGTCCTCGCTACCCGGGGGTACTACATGATGTTGTTGGAAGGGGAAGGTCCTCGCTACACTGTGGATACTACATGATGTTGATGGAAGGGGAAGGTCCTCGCTACCCGGGGTACTACATGATGTTGTTGGAAGGGGAAGGTCCTCGCTACCGGGGGTACTACATGATGTTGTTGGAAGGGGAAGGTCCTCGGTCCCGGGGGTACTACATGATGTTGTTGGAAGGGGAAGGTCCTCGGTCCCGGGGGTACTACATGATGTTGTTGGAAGGGGAAGGTCCTCGGTCCCGGGGGTACTACATGATGTTGTTGGAAGGGGAAGGTCCTCGCTACCCGGGGGTACTGCATGATGTTGGAATTGTATATATCCTCGCAAACCTCCGGACACTTTATGTTGCTAGGCGATATTTAATGACGCAATGGTGACAGAGGGGATAAGCTGACAAATGCTAGAACGTCACCATGGCTCTCACTTTCTGCTTGTCACTGCTTTGTACTTAATGCTGTAGTTAACAAACTGGGGATTTGAGAGTAAAATCTGATTGAGCGTCATGGAGTCTCCATTTGTTTATTCTTCAATGTGTCCTTCAGGAACGTTCCATTAACCGGATCCTCTACACTGGGAATTAGCTCCAGCATAAATCTCGGCATTGAAACGATAACTCTGGAGATGTTAGCAGGCGCGGTAATGGTCCCGCCATTGTGTCTATAATTAATGAAGGTAGGGATGGGAACTTTCTCATGTCGAAAAGCATTAAGTTTGAAATAAGTATTGCCAGAGTGCCTTCGCTCATGTAGATGTGACGCTGCTGGGACCAGATACAGACTACATCAGTGGCATCACGACTGAAGCAGTTAGCTTGACTATGAACATATATATATATCTCATAATAATTGTGATTATGAGCGACAAGTGATGCTCCCACATATCCACTTAGTGTGTGTACAGGGTATGGCGCTGTCAGCAAGGGACATATAAGTCAAGCATCCAATAGCAGTACAAGAGGGCAGGCATAGTTGGCCGAAAATATATAGTCTATGTTGACAGCGTACATACCATGGTTACCATGCCAATGACGCCATTTCAGACACCAGCTGTGACATGCAAGTCTGTTGTCTATTACACATTTGGGCTTAAATGGTCATGTATTGCAATAACCAGTCGGAAAATGTTCCATACAGCTGTCTAGCAACAGTGAAATACAAGTACCCAAACAGAGGGATACTGCGCTCACGCACGTCATATTGTCTAATGTATAAGGGGTGGTGGGGAAGCCTAGTGCTTAAGGCGTTCGCTCGTCACGCTGGAGACCTGGGCCTACATTTTCGAAGCTCTCTTAGCGTAAGATAGTCGTAAGTTAATGTTAATGTATGGCAATTACGACTATCTTAGCGATAAGAGAGCTTCGAAAATCTAGACCCTGGGTTTGATTCCTCACATGGGCGCAATGTGTAAAGCCCATTTAAGGTGTTCCCCGCCGTGATATTGCTGGAATATTGCAAAAAGCGGCGTGAAACCATACTCACTCACTAATATGTATAATGTTGCCTGCTCCATCGTCACGTAACATGACTGTCGGAGAACCCAACTGTGTTGAGGTAGCCAGAATGACTCATCACGTTAACATGGAGACTTTCGTTCAGGACAAATACAGCTTTGCATTATTTAGTTATTTACTTATGTGTTTGTTTGTGTAGTTTCATTTTATATAATTCGTTGAAAACCCCAACACATAGCTACCCAATCCTGGTAACCGCGGTACACAGCAAATGAAATATATACGCTCCAGCTTAAGAGCATTGTAGTGAGTGAATTTTGTTTTACGCCGCTTTTAACAATATTCCAGCAATATCACGACGGGGGACACCAGAAATGGACTTCACACATTGTACCCATGTGGGGAATCGAACCCGGGTCTTTGGCGTGACGAGTGAACGCATTAACCACTAGGCTACCCCCACCACCTTCAGGGCATTTATATAAAGGTAAAGCAAGTACTTTTTAAACATACACGTAGTAAAAAAAACTTGCTAACACTCATCAGAATGGTAATTATATAATCACTGACGTTATGCAATACCTGTCACCAGCTGTCACTAAAGTGTCATTCAAGGGAGATGGCATTCCAGTTTAAGCTCGAAAATTGGATTACAAAATCTCAGAGGATATTAACATTTGTGGAACGAATTGAGTATGTTCATAACTGGTGGGATTACTTTCCTCGAGTCTATTGGCCCTGACATTACGTGGTGACTTAACACTGACACACATGGTCCCCTCCCGTCTCGACGGTACGAATGCACTGGCATACACGAGTGTCCCTACAAATAGGCCTACAAACCTGTCTACTTCTCCCGGGGTCGCTAAAAGGAATCGCTATCAATGATAATGTTTACTAACCATGGTTGTGAATGGGGTAAAGCAATTTGATGGACATACTCATATTCCTGGGTTAGATTAACCCCCTGACGCCCAACAACGCAGCTCTCGATATCTTATAATTTTCTCCCCTCAGTCACTCTCGGTCTCTATCGATTGATTGACACATGCTGATTTCACTTCCGCGTGTAGAACATGCCACACTAAGATCGTGTGTGAGGGCGCTTGTCTTGTTATTTCAAACTTGAATGCGATACGTGGGATGCACTGTGTAATTGATGTTTTCTGAAGATAAATGCGAACTAAAGTGTTATCTCAATACCTCTTCTCTATTTTTACGAGAGTCATTGCGCAATCTGTAACATTTCAGGAGAACCTTCAACAAAACGGTTATGCGGTATTAAACAAATCGACCGCGAGTTCCCTGCTAATAATCATTTTTTATTGATGTCTCCCTGGGGTAAAAAAAGTATAATTTCAATGTATTAATAAATCGCCTCTTTCACTTTTGTTCCTAGACATAATTGCACGCTGATGTGTGTAAGTAGTGAAGCGAAAATGGCTTTTATGTTCGGCACTTCGCCAGTTCCTACGATAGGAAGAGACATTATTTTGGCTGTGAGCGCTTGCAGCAGAACTAGCGTTGCGTATCCGACACATTATATATAGCGTCCCCGCACCTGCTAACATTTTAATAAGACTGGTTTCCACGTGAATATTATCATGTGTGTATTCAGCTTTATTTTGGCACTATTTATGCATAACATCCTAGAATTTAGTCCCCAGAATAGAGGTAACTAACAACACACACGCAAGCACGCAAGCACGCAAGCACGCAAGCACGCATGCACGCACCCACGCACACACTCACACACATAAATATATACAATACAGACAGACAC